ACTAAAAATATAACTGGTATAATCGATAATGTATACGTACAAATTTTATAATGCGAATATTAATAAATTACTTCAAGCGAACGGTTAGATAAAGAACGTAAATGTAAGAAGCGTCGAACGAAATAAATTTATTAGCGGTATTATTTAGTATCGGAGAAAGAGAAAAATTCAGTAAGGCGTTAGTTATGAATTTATTCTGTCCCTGTGCTTTTACAACTTCTATTGTTTCTAAGAAATTTAACTTTTCGCTTAGGTGCATTGTGTAATAATTTTATATTATTTGAATCTAGAAAATATGCATATGAGCTACAATGTTCACTGAAAGCAGTTGACTCGTGATTATTGTAAATAAATTTAAAATTTTATGAAAATCAACTGCAGGCACCAATCAACATACCATATTTTTGAATTCGATATACTTGACAACGAGACAAAAAAATGTGCTTACAAAATTGAATCCAAGCATTGCCTCACATGTACAAAAAAGCTACAGAAACTACTAAAAGACAAAATTCATCGGACACAACAGACAAAGACTTAATATCCCAGTTGGAGTTAAATCGAAGCAACGTTAGAGTACACGTTGGAGACTAATGAACAGAGTCCTTTATTTTTTTTTCATTCTTGAGTTAAAAATTTTTCTGCAATCGAATTAACACAAGTAAAAACTTATACTTTAAGTAACAAGTTACAACATTGTCCTAACATTTAAAACTTAAAAAATTTTATTTTGCTTCCAGTAGATACAGAATGTACCTTGATCAAAATAAAAAATAACGCGCTACACCTTTTTAGACATAATTGTATTGACTTATTAAACAAGAACAAAAAAAAATCAGCAAAAGTTATAAATCAGAGTTCAAAGTGAAAAAATCTTTGAAACAAAAGATAAACGATAATGATTTAGTTTTATGCAAAGCAGACAAAGGAAAAACTGTTACTATCCTTGAAAGATATAATTATTTTTTAAAAACAGAAGATTTAATTAGCAATAACTATTCTGAAATTTTGACTTCTGACCCCTAAAAAACTTTTCAAAAAGCTACTAACTAAGTCCATTGTGAATAAGCGTCAAAATGTTTCAGGTAAAATCAGTATAATGCCGTAAACTGTTATGAATGCTGCGGCACCATAATTGTACAGATTTTCAAAAGTACACAAAGAAAATACACCTATGAGACCCATCTTATCTTACACTAATGCTCCAACATATCTACTCCCCAAAGAACTTAATAAAATACTTCCTTCTCTTCTCAAATTTTAACCAAGATACATTTGTAAAATACGATTGAGTTAGTTAATGGTATGGAGAACATTAAAGTACCACATAAAACAAAATGATTTACATTTGATGTAGTGAATTTTTTCCCTTCTATCCCCACTGACCAACTCAAAATCATAGTTGGAAACTTGATCAGTAAAAGCAATTTTGTATGTTTAACTTCCAAGCAAGAAATCTTAGTTAACATTTGTCTTGAACAAAGTTACTTCTAATTTAATGAAAAATTTTATAAAAAACTCAAGGGTCTACCGATGGGCTCCCCACTCTTTTATCTCCTTAGTGAAGTCTTGATGTCGCATGCAGATCTCATTTTTAACTCAGCCTTGCCTCTAGTAGAAAGTGTTCTACATAGGGCACAATACGTGTATAATGTCTGCTGCGTTTGGAGAGGGGCAGAGATAAAGTTAAAGAGGTTTCTTTATTACACGAATACCTTTTTATCCAGTAATAACTGTATGATTGAAATAGAAAATAATAGTTTGAACTTTCTAGACTTTAACATAACACGAAGTGCTGATGAATTAATATATGAAATTTATAGAAAACCAATATTTAGTGACACTTTGGTGCCACATGATTCAGAACAGTCCGTCAAATTTAAAATGAGTGTTTATTATTCTTTTATACATAGACTATTGTCGATACCTTTACGAAAAGGCGACTACAACAGAGATGTAAAATTATTAAAATGCTGAGCAACAAATAATGGATGCAATTAAACTTTAATAGATAATACAATTTAAAAAAACACGCAAAAAACTTGTGCTTAAATACTTTCATCCAACATTGCCAGAAAACAAAAAAATCTACATGTTAAATTACATTCCTGTAGTTTCGGAGAAAATGGGTAAATTATTAAAAACAACACAAAACAAATTCGATTTTGGTTAATAAACACAGTCTAAACCATTTCAGTTAATAATAAACAAAAATATGACATTTTGGAGAATAACAGAGTATATCATATAATTAAATGCTTACATTGTGACGCTACATAAATACGATAAACGGGGCGCGTTTTGTCTACACATGCTGATGAACAAATAATATAAAATTGTCACATAATGTACCTAAAGCCTAAAGTTTAATTTATCAGAAACAGTAGAAATTGTAAAAGCACAGGGACCAAACAAATTCATAATTAACGACTAACTCAATTTTTCTGTTTCTACGATAGTAAATAATGCCGCTAACAACTTTATTTAGTTCGACGCTTCTTACATTTACGTTCTTTATCTTATGGTTCGCTAGAATTAATTTATTGATATTCGCCTTATCAAACTCATATGTATACCTTGTCGATTATACTAGTTGTGTATTCAGTGTATGCCAAACCTTTGATAATGGCGTAACTGCTGAAACAGCTGTATTAATAACATTTTAATCTTATTTTGTATGGTTTTCTGTCAATTGGACTATGTTCTGAAATATGGACATGGAAAATTAGTTTTTTAGAGTCATAAACGAAGTAAGTAAAGACTGGGCCTTTAGTTCTTAAATATAAAATACTAAGATCTTAAGATACAAGAATCTTAGCCTCAGCAACTGAGGTACTGTGGGTGTCACATTATATTTTATCTATCTAGCTGTCCCCACCTACCTTTGTCTCGTCACAACGACGTTTTTTCTACTTTTCTTCTCTATCTCTATATCTTTATACATCTATTCCTGGTTTCTTTAATCAGAAAAGTAGTTATAAAGGAGAGTAGGGTGAAAGTGTTCGAAAGTTACTGATTGTCTTCGCTATTTCTGAGACTAAAGGAAAAAATCACATGCCAAGCAGGAGGCTAGGACCCCTACGCCAGCTGGAGAGAGATACTGCCATTTGACACCAGGAAAAGCTCGTAAGTATACCTGTGTAAGTTTAGTGTAAGTGTAATATCTGTATCCAAAAAGAATGATATAACCGTTGCTGACTTCTATTCACGACTGGTACTAGTTTTTATTGGCCCTTGGATATCCAGGCCCCACTCATGGCGGAAGCAGAAAGCACAAAACACTTGCAGTGCTGACCCTCGCATCCGCATCGATAAAAGTAGAAAGTACAATACTTACTACCTCACAAACACAGGCACACAAGCCAACACCGCCCACACCCCCCACTTCCCAACCTTATCACCACCGTTAATAGCCCCCCAAACTGCCCAGTACTCGTCAGATCTGAGAAGTGTACCCTTATCTGTCAATTGAAAAGTGCCTGGTATAGAAAAACTAGCAAAAACCGCCAGGGTTCGTGTGATTTTTTCTGTAATTACCGTCCTTTATCTTAAATATACCAGTCTTTCGTACAGGCCCCTTGCAAAATTTTCCTCATACGATTCTGTAATTTATCGTGGTCACTATTAACAGAGTACAATGATTGTTTCAAGCACATTCCAGCTATTGTCAAGTTTAATGGGAAGGATCTTTTTAAATAAACCATCTTACTTTCAGTACCAACTCTTTTCAAAATCGATAGTGAGTTTACCTGATTAACTGTCCAAGTGTTAGCTTTCCTTCAAATAGGAAGCCCCTGGAGGTCCAGACATTAGCAGAAAAATCCACTATTCGTATTCAAAAATCAGATAAGTGATTTCCTACCATCCTGGGTATTCGCCCCATCGAAAAAGCTCGAGAAAAATCTTGATCATTTTTGACGGGCTTTGAACCCACGACCCCTAGAAACTTGAGATTGTATTTTGGCGAGGCGTGGTGAGCCGCCACTTTCTCGCAGTGTGCTCGCGGCGTTTTCAGTAGAGTATCTTTAAAGTGAAATGGATGTAAAAATTTTGATAACTGGATTGGAGCATCAAAAATCGATATTTTTCGAAAATCTGTGACAGCTTACGATAATATTAACTTTGCACCAATCAACAAATTCCTAATAATAAACATAGTTGTCGTAAATAGACAATTGTGGTCATTGCATACTTTGCTTTTTTTTGGTTCAGCTGTCATACTGTTGTGTGGTTTATTTAAGAGTAACGTTATAAAATTTTCCATGTTAATAAAAAATGACAACTAAATGTAAATTTATTTTGTTAGTAAACATTGCAAAAAATTTATGCTATTTCTGTGATTATTATATCAGTCTGTGATTTCTCTGGCTAGTACGCTTATCACCAAGCCATTAAAGCTTTTATTGAACGTATAATATTTGATAATTTATGAAGCAGTTTAGTAACAATAAAATTAAAGATCGTTTTACTTCGTTATTCTGAGTAGTTTTAGATTTTAATACTTCATTACGCCATTATACAATATTTACAGAATAATGTCATTTCATATTTGAATAGGACTAAAATAGAGATGAGTGACAAACTAAGAAAAAAATGTTCCAGTTAGAAAAAAAACTTAAATTTTTTTATGTCAAATTTTGAGCTAATGTATAGTAATTCATTAATTTTACAGTGCTATTGATAGCACCATTGTCGTGTTTAGCAGCGAAAAATAGATACCTTATATTGACATGAAATGTAATTATAAGTTTTGTTAAGTATTTATGACTCCATGAGTAATAGACGTAACTTTTTTGCAAGAAATACCTCTTACACAAATATTTCCAAACCTTGAAAAGATTCAATTAAAGTTATTTTGTTATTGTGTAAAAAATTATAAAATAAAATGTAGAAATCGCTTGAAACATTTTTTAATAATATAACATGTAACGTGTACACAATTTATTGCTATTTCTACTCTAAACCCTTAAAGTATTATGCCAAGTGATTTACTGATAAAAATGTGTTTTAGGGAGCCGCCAGTTCGAAAGCATTTGAAAAACGTCTACAGCTGCCTTAGTCTTTCTACCCTAACAGCTGCAGTAGGTGTATATATTCATTTGTATACACATTTATTACGTGCTGGAATATTAACGTCACTGGGAGCAATAGGATTAATTATAATTTTGTTGAATACATCCGATAATGGAAAAAACCAACATTTGCGCTTAGTATGTCTTCTAGGATTTGCATTTCTTTCTGGTCTAGGGATATGCCCCCTTTTGGAAATGGTTATTCTTATCAATCCGAGCATTATTGTTTCAGCGTTAGTTGGTAAGTTTACATCAAAACACATGTTGAAATTGCATATTAAGTTTTTAATGAACCATTTATAGTGCATTTTATCAGGCACGTTTATGAGTTTTTCCACTTGCTTAAAACACTAGTTATGTTTGTATTTTAAGATATATCTTTATATCCAGTACCAAATTTTAACATTTTATCATCAGTAAGAGGCTTTTTCTATCAACTGATAAAGAACATCATGAAATCATGCTACATAACCAATTTGTAAATGTAGTAAATATGCATCTATTTGGAGCTTTGAGTTTTAGGTATTGAAAAATACCAGTTACTTTTTTGAGGGCATTTATAATATTTTATAGTATTTTATGTACACATAGCTTATGTACATAATAGTTTATATATATGACATCATACATCAAAATGAAAAACTATTACTATGTTTACGTTTAGCATGAATTAATGTAAGCTTAATTAAAACTCCTTATCTTGAAACTCAAGAAAAAAAGGCATTTCCAAACACTATTAGAGGTTAAAAATATTCTGGAATTTTGATGATTTTGAGTCAAATTTTTAAACACAATTTTTCAAGACATAGATTGTTTAACTTCTGAATGCATTTTTTAAATCGTAATAAATACTGGGTCCCAAAAAAAAGTTTAGTTTGACAAATTTATGTGAGTACTGCTTGAGTAAGATGATTTTTATGTTAAAGTTAAGTTTAACGTATCCATGATTGATTTTGAACGTAATCTACGTTCAAAGTTTTGTATGGCTCGCTTACAAGCAAAGTAAAATCTTGTTTGCCATCTTAAAACAAATGAAAACTGTATAGGTAATGCATTCTTTATTTAGAAGGTAAACGCAATTTGATTTCAGTAGTGTCCATGCAAGTGTACATAATTAATTCAAATAATAATGTGCTAGGCAAAACAGTTATTTTTTCTGTTCATTAAATCATAGTGTACATTTTTTTCGTTTTGCTGATCACTTGGAAATATAAGTAGAAAACTGAATGGTGTTATTGGTTTTTGCTTCAATTCATACAGATGGTCAAATACACTTCCATTCTCTGACTGTCCCCTGTCTTCTAAGCAACTGTCTTACTCTCAGATAACAGTATCATAGTATATTTTTGATGTTGACCATGTCTGAAAGACAACAAATCAGAGTTAGAATGTATTCAAAGGGTAAAAAACAGGCAATCTACAGTTTGAAAATAATGTAGTATCAATTTTTTGGGACGTTTACAAGCTACATTAAAATTTAAGAAATTTGGCTATATGTTAAAGATGGTTAAGGTCGTTATGAAAAAATTAAGTTAGAACTTTTCAGACTCTTTTACCACGTAGCTTAGCACACATAAAATAATACGAATTTTCATATTTTGGGCTTAAAGTGTTGGTATATTAATACAGAACCAACGTTGTTAAAAAAAAATTGCTTACCAAGTAGCTGTTTGCTGAATAACAAAATTTTGTTAATGTTCTTCTGCAGGTACAGCTTAGGCAAATGCGATTTAAACGATTAACGTAAAAGGAAAGTTTTGATGAAAATTATGAAATTAAAAAAAAAAATTTCCTACATAATTAACCTATTTTTCTCAATATTTATGTTCAAACAGCTATTTTTTTGGAACACTGTCAAATTGCAAGTTGAAAAAATTAGTTTTTTTGGAATAAGACAAAAGTATGGATCCAACGACTAGTTTGTTAACATGATAAATATACCTCTGAAAGGATCTGTAAAGCAAAGAAAAAGGTTATAATTAGTCATGTCGTTCGTACGCAAAGTCATTTTTTTTCGATTGTTAATAACAAATGACCCCTTAGATTGAATATGTATTACCAAAACAGGTATAATTCACAGTTATCGTAAAAAGTCAATCACTCATAATATAGGTGCTTTCGGGGAATTGCTATCAATTTCTTTTAAAGCAACTTACACATATTGATTTGGAGTGCATTCTCTTTTAAAAGTGTTATTTTATCAAGTACGACAAAAAAAAATCAGCAAAAGTTATAAATCAGAGTTCAAAGTGAAAAAATCTTTGAAACAAAAGATAAACGATAATGATTTAGTTTTATGCAAAGCAGACAAAGGAAAAACTGTTACTATCCTTGAAAGATATAATTATTTTTTAAAAACAGAAGATTTAATTAGCAATAACTATTCTGAAATTTTGACTTCTGACCCCTAAAAAACTTTTCAAAAAGCTACTAACTAAGTCCATTGTGAATAAGCGTCAAAATGTTTCAGGTAAAATCAGTATAATGCCGTAAACTGTTATGAATGCTGCGGCACCATAATTGTACAGATTTTCAAAAGTACACAAAGAAAATACACCTATGAGACCCATCTTATCTTACACTAATGCTCCAACATATCTACTCCCCAAAGAACTTAATAAAATACTTCCTTCTCTTCTCAAATTTTAACCAAGATACATTTGTAAAATACGATTGAGTTAGTTAATGGTATGGAGAACATTAAAGTACCACATAAAACAAAATGATTTACATTTGATGTAGTGAATTTTTTCCCTTCTATCCCCACTGACCAACTCAAAATCATAGTTGGAAACTTGATCAGTAAAAGCAATTTTGTATGTTTAACTTCCAAGCAAGAAATCTTAGTTAACATTTGTCTTGAACAAAGTTACTTCTAATTTAATGAAAAATTTTATAAAAAACTCAAGGGTCTACCGATGGGCTCCCCACTCTTTTATCTCCTTAGTGAAGTCTTGATGTCGCATGCAGATCTCATTTTTAACTCAGCCTTGCCTCTAGTAGAAAGTGTTCTACATAGGGCACAATACGTGTATAATGTCTGCTGCGTTTGGAGANTCAGTGTCGGTTAGACACTCGTACGGCCCGTCGAGTGCGTTCACTCGGATTTGTGAGTGAACGAAATTTGTTCCTCTGAAAGCTGAGTGAGCGCTCGGTATTCACTCTAAAATTAAAACCTACTAGTAAGCATGAACCTAAGCTTCATAGTTTTAGAGTAAAAAATTCCTTAAGTTTTAAAAAACGCTTTTTTTATAACTTTCAGAGCCTTGGCAAAATATAAATAATAAAATTTTCACAAGGCATACCACGTCTACATTCACTATTAAGCTTCTTTAACAATTTCTTAAAAAAAAAATTTTGCAAAATTAAGTGGTAACATTCTTTTTTACAGTTAAGGTTTTGAACGTTTGAGCGCGCGCCTCCGTATTAGAATATACCTATGTGCCTTAGCGTACCGTAAACATATATAGGTATACAGTCGTACGTACTAAAACGCTCAAAATGTTAAGTGCAAAAAAAATGTTGCTATTGAATTCAACGAAATCTTTTTTTTTAGATAATAAAGGAAGATTGAGGTTATTTCTCAAAACTTGGGGAATTTTTACTTAAAAACTGTGGGGTTCCGGTACCTATATACATATCCCAATTAATTTTTTGTTTCTAGTAGGCCACAGAATAAAAAATTTTTTTTTTACATGAAAAAAATAGCATTCATGTAATTGCGTCGAAAAAAATTGTTTAAACAAATTGTGACCAGCTTGCGCGCTGGCAACATAAATATGCCCATTCTGTACGGCCTAAGAAATATGATTCTAATAAAAAATCGATTGTGAAAGGATCTATGACGATGCTGCCAGTTTTGCCGTCTCTAAATATATTTTAAAAATAATTTTCATAGCATGTTATGTAAGGCCTAAAAAATATGTAGATACATATGTTTGCAACATTATGAAGTGAGATGTATACATATATTCGTGGGGCCTTCTGTATAAACGTGAGATCCCCCCTTCCTTGACAAAAATTTGTAACACATTTTGAGGCGTATGAGGTTTTAAAATTTATCTCTAGACCGTTTTTTTTAAATTCCACTTGGCTATCGTGAATAATTAAATATGGAGGACCAATACGGCGAGCATAAGCAAATGTGAGTATCCTACAAGTCAGATTTTTTTTCATTATTCAGCTATAGAAAGCTTTTGAAATGGAGGTTAAAAGATCAGATACGTTTCGATATCATCACTAGACATGGCCATGGCACGAAATATAGTTACGAACATGTTTAACCACACCTATTCATAAAAACTGCTTAATAAGTGAAAAAATGTAATATTACTAAGGTCACATTAGATATATTTAGATGAATTATTTTTGTGCAATTATGATACATTAACTTTGTTACTCTTCCCCTTATGATTACAAATGCTGTTACACAATCCTAACCTTAAATAAGTTACGAACAAAGCTGTTTTACGTTGTGATAAAGCTTCTAGTACAGTTCTGGAAACGAAAAAAGAGTTATTGGCGCTGTTTTCATTATTAAGTTACATGATGGCCAAGGCTTAAGCATGAAATCCGATGCATTATCCGTGAGTCGTCAGTGTACAAGAAAGTGTAAAAAAAGGTGTGACAAACGAAATTTCGTTGAAAAATTGTGACTTGAAGCTTCACAATTACTGAAAAGTAGTATTTAAATTTAAAACCGCTTATTAAAAATTTTCAAAAAACTGTATATAAATGAACATACCAAAAAAAAATTACCGTGTAGTTAGAATTAAAAGTTTATAACTTTTTTGGACTTCACATAACTTAAAAAAAAATAATGAAAAATTCTAATTATTGAATTTTAAAAGTCCTAGTGCGATTGTGAAAATATCAGTTTTTGTAAGGTAATCCACACATTACTTTTCAAATATTAAGTCAATTAAGAAAATATCAACAGAAATACATAATTAATTATTTTATAAGATAGTTTTTTTTTTTAATTAATGACAAAAATATTTCTCTTATACTCAGAGATACTTTCCATTTACGTGCACAGTGTACGTTTAGTGTTCAGCCGCGTGGTGGTGTGTCGACACCCAACTAGCTGAGTGAATACCAAGCGCTCACTCAGCTTTCAGAGGAACAAATTTCGTTCACTCACAAATCCGAGTGAACGCACTCGACGGGCCGTACGAGTGTCTAACCGACACTGAGAATATCATACGCGTACATACGTATTATATACGTACATGGATATAC